AGCCCCTCCTACTGGCTCTGTTTGTTTTGGTTGCACTTCTTCAGCAATAGTTGCTCAGGGAGGAGGTGGTGGAGACTGACCTTTTTATATCATAGCAAACTGTTACAACATGGTGAGAGTTTTAACAAATATGTGACAAACTTTTTATATGTATAGATTTTTATAAATGCACAGATTTGCATCTGCCTCTAAATATATTCCAAAGCAGTTGCTTTCTTTTCTGTTTTGCCATTCCTATTGTGTCTCTGAGGATCAAGGGTGGAGCACAAGAGGGGAGAACACCCCTAAACCAACCCCCAGACGCACCAGGGAGTGTCTCATAACAATGCTTTGAATTTCCAGCACCAAGCGGCGTAGCACAACTCGGATTCATCAAAGAAAGCACACGTCTTATCATAGCGCAGGATATATCCAGTCAGTTTAACTGGAAAAATGCTAATGCACCCCATCCAGTTTCATTGTGAGACCTAATGCAGAGTCCATTCACTAATTTGTTCATTTACTTGTGGCTCTGGGGGAAGCAAGAAGCCTTCCCATCATTGTGTCTGACAGCCAGATGAGATCAGCATGCCCTCTGGCAGCTCAGGGAGATGGGACATCGCTTCCTCATCAGGCAAAATAAAGGAGGACTTTGATGGTATCATCTTGGAGTCATGCCTCCCCTCACCCCACCCACCCACCACTACACACTGTCAGAGTCACACAACAACAGACTTCCATTTCCCAGTAATCGAGTTTCTGCCTGGCCTCTTGGTGCTCACACCAAGCCCTGATGAAGTCAACCCTCCCCACCACCTCTGCCCCCTCTTCTTTCCTGCTTAGAATATCAACAGTTTGTGTCTTCTTATTTCTCTCTCCAGTGCACATAATGAGAATATGTCACAAGACTGAAAAGACATCATTAGTTTTGAATAATTACTAGGTCATCTGCTTTTCACCATGTTGGTTTAGGTCAATATTAGACTTGGGACTTTTACAAGATTATCCCCATATGTCAATGTCAATGTCAATGTCAATGTATGCTAACCTTGTGTCACTGTATTGTGATAATACAGTAAATATTTAAAACAAAAATGAATAACATGACCAAACTGTTTCTATTTAAAACATAAGAGGAATAACTATTGTACTCAAAAGCTGTTTCCATTACATTTGGAAAATGTTGTCAATATTCCACTAATGTTGACAGAATGCAATTTGACAATTGATGTGTTTCCATTGAATCAGAAACACATTTAAAATAAGTGTATTCACTACAAGATGTCATTGCTAAACCTGCCATGCCACCATTTTCCAACCACTTCCTGTCATTGTCTTCATGGTTTCTGCCAGTGGTAACATTTGTCGGTTGATATAATGCAAAAAAAAGTGTTTCCAATGCAATTCTTTGAAACACACAAATTTTGATACAGCTGAAAAACCACCACTGTCAGGGTCTGTGTTTTTGTTTCTTTTAGTTTTTCCTTTTTTTTGTTGTGTCTCCCTGGAGCACCTGCTGCTTCTCATGGCATCCACCAGGTGCCGCTAGGATGCAGAGCCCCTGGAGTTGTGCCATGTCAACCCCGTCGACACACCTGCAGCTTGTTCGGAGGGCTCAGCCTGGGTGTTTATAGGAGCGGCGGAACGACTCCTCTCCGCCTGAGTGTTTTGTTTACCTCGGTAACGATCGTTACATGATAGGCCCCCCGAGATCTACGTCGATTTAACCTCTGTTTTTTTTCTCACATTAGGTGAACCCGCCGTCTCCCTGTTGATTCCCTGAGTGGGCCGTCTGCCCCGGAACCCTTAGCCTCCAGATTTACTCGGTCGCCTCGGACGCCTCTCCAGGAAAGCAGGACTCCCTGACCGAGCTTGGATCCACCTGGAGGTGCCTTGGCCTGGGCCTTGACGAATCTCGTTCTGATCGCTCTGCCTGTCCGGCCTCCCACCAGCCCAGTTCTCCAGTGCTCTGCCAGCCGTCATACTCACACCCTCCAAAGTAAGATCCAATCTGTTTATCCCGGAGAGTCTCTCCTACCCGCTAACTAACCCGAACCATCTCATTGACAGTCTGACGAACCGGTGACCCGTTCCAGAAACCATCCCTCTTTCCTTTTCCCTCAAACTCAATAAATCATCATTGTTCATTAACCGCTTACCTGATTGTGTCCTTGCATGTGGGTTCGAAACCTTAGAGACACCATGACAGAACACTCAGGCCAGACCACAACCTCAGCGGACACAATCAGAAGGGCTCTATCCGAACAACATGCCCTGATTCAGTCCCACGACTCCGCTTTAAGAGAGCTGGGAAGCCGCCAAGCAGAAACAAATCGTCGGCTAACAGAACTTTCAAATTTCCTACAGAACCCAGTCCAGCAGGTACCTAGCGTTTCTTCCACTCCCTCTGCGGCTCCTGATCCGCCGAACCGCTCCATGTTTTCGGATGTCCGTCCATCTGCACCAGATAAATTTTCAGGAGACATTAAGAAGGTAAAAGGTTTCATTCTCCAGTGTAATATAATCTTTAATCATTCACCGCAGAGCTTTCCCCATGATGATTCAAAGATATCGTACATGTTATCCCTGTTGACGGGTCGAGCACTAGAGTGGGCCGAAGCCAGGTTTACATCCGCCTTGAATTATGGATGTACGTTTCCTGAGTTCCTAAGGGAGTTTAAACAAGTTTTTTGTCAGGAGACTGAAAAGACTTCAGCCTCCCGTGATTTGCATGGTTTGAAGCAGGGCCAGAGGAGTGTGGCTGATTTTGCCATTGATTTCAGAATCAAAGCCGCAGCTTCTGGTTGGAATGCCCCTGCACTTAAAAGTGCATTTTTCCATGCGTTAAATGAGCGAATTAAAGATGAACTGGCAACTCTAGATGAACCTGAGACTCTAGACGAATTCATCAACCTAACCATAAAATTGGATAACCGAATCCGCTCCAGGGCGAGGGAGCGGTCCAGCCGGGTTTTTTCCCCAGGTGTTTCCCAACACAGTAACCGGTCCGAAGTTCAGGATTCCCCTACCTCTGCCCCTGAACCTGAACCTATGCAACTGGGACACACACGCCTAACCCCAGAGGAACGCCAGAAGCGGATGCGTTCCCGGCTCTGTCTCTACTGTGGTGAGCCTAACCATGTTATCGCTAACTGTCCCATTCGTTTAAACCCGCAGGTCCGGCAGTAAAGACGGGGGAACTGTCGGCGTTATCATCACAGTCAACTAAATCCCGTCTCATCATTCCAGTCACCCTCCTTAGCAATAACGAATCTTTTCCCCTGTCAGCACTCATTGACTCGGGATGCGAACAAAACCTCATAAACTCAGAAATAGTCCAGCAACTGGGCATCAAGGTTGAACCTCTGCCTACCCCTCTCCGTGTTTCAGCCCTGGACGGAGGGAACCTACCACAAATCACCCACCGTACGAAGTCCATACGCCTATTGATCTCAGGTAATCACACCGAAGAGATTGCATTTTTTGTTTTCCCTGCTACCAGTTCCTCCTTAGTTCTGGGATTCGACTGGTTACACGCACACAACCCTCATATCAATTGGGCTGAAGCCAAGATCGAGTCCTGGTCCACAAGGTGTCATTCCACCTGTCTTCTCTCCGCCGTTCCGGGCAGGACCTCCCTGACTGAACAGGCAGAGGTCGATCCACCTGACATATCCTCCATTCCCAGTGAGTACCATGATTTATCTACGGTTTTCAGCAAAGACGAGGCGTTATCTCTACCACCCCACAGGCCGTATGACTGCAGCATTGACCTTTTGCCAGGAGCTCCATTACCCAACAGCAGGTTATACAACATTTCCAGAAGTGAGCGACAGACAATGGAGGACTACATAAACAAATCTCTCGCTGCCGGCATAATCCGCACGTCCTCTTCCCCATTAGGTGCAGGGTTTTTTTTTGTGGGAAAAAAAGATGGGTCCCTACGGCCCTGCATAGATTACAGGGGACTAAATCAAATCACAATAAAGAACAAATATCCATTACCACTGTTGTCCTCAGCTTTCGAGCCTGTGCAAGACGCAACCATTTTCACGAAGCTAGACCTCAGAAACGCTTATCATCTTCTCCGTATTAGAGAAGGTGATGAGTGGAAAACGGCATTTAAGACTCCTATGGGGCACTATGAGTATTTGGTGATGCCTTTTGGTCTCTCTAATGCCCCTGCCTTTTTTCAGGCACTTGTGAACGATGTCCTCAGAGATTTCATTAACGTTTTTGTGTTTGTCTACCTAGACGACATTCTGATCTACTCCAAGTCCCTCGTTGAACACAGAAGACACGTCCGCTTGGTTCTCCAGCGGTTGCTTGAAAACAAACTATACGTAAAAGCCGAAAAATGTGAGTTTCACCGTCGATCAGTAACTTTCCTGGGATACGTACTGGAGGGCGGACAGGTAAGAGCGTCAGAGGACAAGATAAAAGCAGTACTGGACTGGCCCAAGCCTGAGACCCGTAAACAACTACAACGATTCTTGGGGTTCGCTAACTTCTATCGAAGATTCATACGCAACTATAGCCAAACTGCATCTCCCCTAACGGCTCTGACCTCCACCAAGAGGGTATTTGCCTGGACCCCTCAAGCAGAGGCTGCCTTCGCGGAACTCAAGTCCCGGTTTGCTCATGCACCCATACTCGTCCAGCCCGATCCCAAGAAGCAGTTTGTGGTGGAAGTTGATGCCTCCGACACAGGGGTCGGAGCTGTCCTCTCCCAGACCACCGACCATGACCATAAGCTTCATCCCTGTGCCTTTTCTCCCGCAGACTCTCACCGGCGGAAAGAAATTACAACGTTGGGGACAGAGAGCTCCTGGCGATCAAGTTAGCCTTGGAAGAATGGCGACATTGGCTTGAGGGAGCTGAACAACCCATTCTGGTTTGGACAGATCACAAAAACTTATCCTATCTCCAATCCGCTAGGAGGTCCAACCCACGCCAGTCGCGTTGGTCTTTATTTTTTTCTCGCTTTAACCTGTCTATTTCATATCGCCCAGGCTCCAAGAATGTCAAGCCTGATGCGCTCTCTCGAGTTTATTCCTCAGATGACTCTGAAGAAGATCCGGCTCCTATCCTTCCCCCCACCTGCACAGTGGGAGTGGTCACCTGGGATCGAGGACCTTATTCGCCAAGCACAGCAAAAGGAACCTGCCCCTGAACACTGTCCATCAGGTAAAATGTACGTACCCTTATCGGTTCGATCCCGTTTCCTCCAGTGGATACACGCTTCAAAGTTTTCTGGCCACCCTGGCATCAGTCGCACCATTGGGCTAATAAATCGGAGGTTCTGGTGGGAATCGGTACACAAGGACGTGAAGGAGTACGTCTCGGCCTGTGTGGTCTGCTCCCGCAATAAGTCGTCGAACCATCATCCTGCAGGCCTCCTTCAGCCACTACCCATACCCCGACGACCCTGGTCCCACATCGCGGTCGACTTTGTCACTGGACTACCTACCTCTAAAGGTATGACTACCATTCTCACCATCGTCGATCGCTTCTCCAAGGCTTGTCATCTTGTTCCTCTCCGTAGATTGCCTACTGCCACCCAGACTGCCATGCTTCTGATTAAACATGTGTTTAAACTCCATGGCATTCCTCAGGAGATCCTCTCAGATCGTGGTCCCCAGTTTGTCTCTCAGGTTTGGCGCCAATTCTGTTCTGCCTTGGAGGCCAAGGTGATGCTCACTTCTGGTTACCATCCTCAAACCAACGGACAGACAGAGCGCATGAATCAAGAACTAGAAGCTACCCTGCGGTGCCTGACCTCCACCAATCCTGACGACTGGGCCCAGTACCTTCCCTGGGTTGAGTATGCGCACAACAGTCACATCTCTGCAGCCACAGGTCTTTCTCCTTTTGAAATAGTGCTGGGTTACCAGCCACCACTCCTGCCCTCTGATGAAACGACAATCTCTGTTACCTCTGTTCAACACCACATTCGTAAAAGTCGAAAGATCTGGAAAGACACCATAGATGCGCTCACCAACACCACTGCACGCAATAAACGCCTGGCGGACCGCAGGAGGACTCCTGCTCCTAATTACACCATAGGTCAAAAGGTGTGGTTGTCTACACGCGACATCCCCCTCAAGGCGATGTCCAAAAAGTTGTCTCCCAAGTTCATAGGCCCTTTCGAGGTGTCGTCAGTTATCAGCCCATCTGCCGTACGTCTTCGTCTTCCTCCGTCCCTGCGCATTCACCCAACCTTTCATGTGTCCCAGATTAAGCCTGTCCTTTCTAGTGACCTTTGCCCTCCGGCCGAACCCCCTCCTCCCGCCCGTATCGTCGATGGCCATCCGGCCTTCTCCGTCCGCCGGGTCGTCGCCTCCCGGCGGCGGGGTCGGGGTTTCCAGTACCTCGTTGACTGGGAGGGTTATGGTCCAGAGGAACGCTCCTGGGTGCCTGGATCGTTTATTTTGGATCCCTCCCTCATTAGAGACTTTTGGGACTCCCAGCCCTCCTCTTCTGCTCGGCCGCCGGGTGGCGTCCATTGAGGGGGGGGTACTGTCAGGGTCTGTGTTTTTGTTTCTTTTAGTTTTTCCTTTTTTTTGTTGTGTCTCCCTGGAGCACCTGCTGCTTCTCATGGCATCCACCAGGTGCCGCTAGGATGCAGAGCCCCTGGAGTTGTGCCATGTCAACCCCGTCGACACACCTGCAGCTTGTTCGGAGGGCTCAGCCTGGGTGTTTTATAGGAGCGGCGGAACGACTCCTCTCCGCCTGAGTGTTTTGTTTACCTCGGTAACGATCGTTACATGATAGGCCCCCCGAGATCTACGTCGATTTAACCTCTGTTTTTTTCTCACATTAGGTGAACCCGCCGTCTCCCTGTTGATTCCCTGAGTGGGCCGTCTGCCCCGGAACCCTTAGCCTCCAGATTTACTCGGTCGCCTCGGACGCCTCTCCAGGAAAGCAGGACTCCCTGACCGAGCTTGGATCCACCTGGAGGTGCCTTGGCCTGGGCCTTGACGAATCTCGTTCTGATCGCTCTGCCTGTCCGGCCTCCCACCAGCCCAGTTCTCCAGTGCTCTGCCAGCCGTCATACTCACACCCTCCAAAGTAAGATCCAATCTGTTTATCCCGGAGAGTCTCTCCTACCCGCTAACTAACCCGAACCATCTCATTGACAGTCTGACGAACCGGTGACCCGTTCCAGAAACCATCCCTCTTTCCTTTTCCCTCAAACTCAATAAATCATCATTGTTCATTAACCGCTTACCTGATTGTGTCCTTGCATGTGGGTTCGAAACCTTAGAGACACCATGACAACCACATCCTTATGCAAAAACATTTTATCCAAAAACATAAATTTCTTCCAAAGTTGGCTTGTTTCCATTAAACAAAATGCATTTTCGAAATTCTAATTCTCGTGATAATGTCAATGGAAATGCAGCTTGGGATTGCAGCAATATTTATGTTATCTAATGCTAGTCTTTGTCATTTTAATGTTGTTGCATAGATTAAAACTACATTGAAGCTAAATTTTTTGAATAAATATCCATTAAACTTAGTGGTTAAATTTTTGTTGCAGAGAATATTATCCCTTGTCCCCAAAATTTTGATACCACCTAGTAAATTTGTCAGGCTACCTGCTAAGGTGGCCAGTTGGATGCTTAAGACAGGAGGATTGCAAGCAACAATTCAAGAGTTTTTAGTGTCTGGATCTTTAGTCTTTCTTTCATGTGGCATTTTACAAAAAAGCTGACTCTGCATTTCTTCTAGTTAAAGAAAAAAGTGTTTGAATGTTCTTTCAGCAAGCTGACCTGAAGTGAGCAGAAGCAGTTCTGATATTCTTTGTCATAATGTGCTGTGACAATTGGACTCAAGTCCAATTGAGTCCAATTGTCTTTTTAATTTAAAAAACTGCAATAAACAAGAATTATTAAATGAGTGCAGCTGTGAGGGGCAAGCAGAAAGCAGGCTAAGGAACAGAGAGAGAGATGGGGACAGCAGAGCGAGAAGAAGCTAACACTAACACAGGAGCTTGGAAACATCGATCTAAGTGAAATAAAGAATAACTAAACAGAAGAAATAAATATTTTTAAGTAAGATAACTAAGAACAGACTGACATAAAGCAGAACAGAAACAAGGCCGGTCTGATTAAAACCAAAAAAAACGAGGTAATGAAAACACAGAGAATGAATGATCAGTTCTCCAGAGATCTTAGTTCTCTGGAGAACTAAGATGCTTTCAGAATATCTAGCAATTTCCTTAAAGCCATTTTAGCTGCAACCTGTAAACCTGGACATGTGGTTGGACATAGAGCAGATTGTCAGAAATGTTTAATGGATTATTTTCAAAGAATAGTAAATGCTATTATTAAAGCTTTTCAGGTCTTTGTAGAAAAAACACACAGCCTAAGAAATTATGAGAAGGGATGTAGTCCTTTAACTCTCCATCTCATTTAAAAGCTTAGCAGATTTTACACACAGCCTAAAAATCTCTGTGTCAGCCTTACAACAAAATTATTCTTCCAGACCATTCCAACATGGTCTATTTAAAACCCATGGCTTTGACCGACCTCTGATCCTTTCTGCAAACTCCCAATTATGCACTTCAGCTACCAGGCAGCTGTCTCTCCTGGGATGACAATAATGATTTACTCATTATTTTTGTCATTTGTGTCATTTATGGGCTCAAACATAGCTTCTCATGTTGATCCCTGAGAAAAAAACGACTCTGACTAAGATCAATTGCCTGCCCCTGGCACTTTTACTCATTTCATGAGTGACTTAGAAAACCATCAAGCAGCAGATCGTTAATTCGCTTGGCAATGTTCGAGTTAAAAAACCCTGTCCTGGTTTTGTATCGTACATGGCTTTGTAAAAGCATGACCTGCCACACTTTCAAGTGTCAAGTGCATTTTTATTCACACCCCAACTCTTATCCCCCTAAATAAAACCCAGTGCAACCAATTGATTTTCTAAATTCTATTTGAAGTAACTTGTTTGACAGTCAAGGAGAAAATTGTGGAGATGTTTGGAGCAGAGTTGGGTTATAAAATGAGCTGCAGCGTTCCTCTGCTCTGTGCAGTGACAGCCATGTATGCCACAAATCTTGTCTTTGGGGAACCAGAAGAAAAGACCAGACAAGGAAACAAAACAAAAAGAATAAAAACAATCTGCACTGCAATTTGGCACAGGTCATACAAGGGACACGGACAACATGTGAATAAAAGCATTCTTGTCAGATGAGACCAACACTGACCATATATGGGAAACACACAAACATGCAAATAGTCTGTTGGGAAAATGATGCTGAAACTGACTTTGATCAAACTGTGGGGTGTTGCTTGTAAAGTTACATAGTGAAATAAATTAGCAGCAGTAACTTTGGTTATTTAGCCTATCATAGGAAAAAAAATAATATTTAAAAACTACATAAATATTTAATCAGCTAGCTAAATAGTTTACAAATTAAATATTTAGCTCTAAACTATTTAGTTAGCGAGTTAAGTGGTGATTTCAAACTAAACAATTAGTTATGAACTTGTCATTATGTGTGCAGATTGGGACCCAAGAGCAGCAGGCAGAAGACGTTGAATGTTGTGGATGTTTTAATAACAAAATTCAAATGACAAAAAATTTAATGATCCAGGGAAATCCAAAACAAAAAACAAAGTAAACTGAAGACAAAAGGGAACAACAGACCTACGTTAAGTAGGTCAGCGCTAACAGAACTAAATATAAGGTACTGGAAGAAAAACTTTAAGAAACCGCCAGACAAGAGAGGCAGAAACTCAACCCTGAATATAGACTTGGAGGTACACTCAGAGGATTTGGGTCAAACAAAAATTCTGCTGGAAATCTGTGGCAATAAAACAAAACAAAACAAAAATACTAAAATCAATGAAGTTATACTTTAGCCATTTTGCAAAGACCAACAGATATGCAATAGAAATAATAATGCAAAAAGGCTGCAGATTTCAAAAAGCAATGCAGATGTTGCAGCAACTGTAATCTCATATATTTTTGATTCAGGGATAAAAAATGCAAATCTATCTGTCTGTCTGTCTGTCTGTCTGTCTGTCTATCCATCATGCCTTCAATGAGACCCATTCAGACTATTGAAGAAATGCTGCTGTTTTCCCCCATAATCCTCTGCCTCCCTCTGTTGGACAAAACTGTTTGTTTTTTAACTCTGCATTATTTTTCATTTTTAGTCTCTCTCGCCCTCTACTGACTATATTGGTTACTACAAATCTAAATCATGTGAATATTAAACATGTTTGATCAGAGGCATAAAGATTAAAGTCATGTTTTAGTCTTGCCTGGCTGTTTATAAGGAAGAGAAGTAAAAAAGTAACATATTACCATTATTATTATTAAAAATTATTTTCTGGCCTCCCGTGAGATGTCCAACCTGTATCACCAGTTTTCTTGCAGCCCTGTAATTAGTTTTTTTCCTGCCGGGTCAGCAGTCTGTATTGCACAGGGTCAACAGCCTTGTGATTTAGCACCAGGGAGATGAATTAAAGAGCCATGTCTATGCCCTTGAGCAACCATCTTGTCCTTAATTGCGCCAGTGAAAATAGAGTTGTTCTGATATGGCCCTGCACATAAAAACACATATCATATTTCTTGAAAAATTATGGGCCACAATTGTTATTAATGAAGTCTGGCAGCAGTATCATCCTGTTTTTTTTTTTTTTTTTTTTTTTTTTTTTTTTGCAACAGTAATATATAGAACTTTATTCCCACAACACAGACATATGCAAAGTAGTCCTGACCAGTGATTATTTATTCATTTTATTGTATTTTAAATTGAAACACGAGATGAAAAATAATTGTTGCATTTAATATTTTTTCCCCTAAAGTTGAAAGAATCTACAGAGCTGGTGATGCATCCCCATAGAGAAGATCTCTGAGCTCTCCTCTCATCCACTGTGGCTTCACTCTATCTAGCTCAGCCTCCCGCCATGTGTCAATGCCTGCTCTAATCTCACACCAGCACCATCTGCCTCCAGACCCCCCTCCAAATTTGGCACCCACTTCTCCAAGGGATAAAGAAATTGCCATTCACACCCCTGAACATGTTGACCACTTTTCCAGTTGTTGAATAAGAAGCAAAATCAGCGAACATGTTAAGCTTCCAAATAAAGGCTGCTGCTCTTTTTTTTCCACAGCATGTAGCTGGGTCCAAATGAAGCAATGAACAGGCTTCAGATATGCTCTCCTTTCTCCTGTTGCCAAAGTGCAGCAAACAGACAAACTGAACTCACCCTTAAACCATCTCCATATTGTGAGCCACCCAGCTCTCACTCCACTGTCGTTGTTGGCGCCGCACTTTCAGCAAACCTTATTTTTTTTGCCCTCACTAGTATTTTATATTTTTTTCTCAAAAGCCTTTTCAAGCCACTTTGCCTTCATGAATCAGACCAGTAACTGTGAGTTACTAGGCTCAGCACAACATTTACCACGGTAACATGATGCTGAGACACACAAGGACAGACAGCAGTGCGTGCACACCCTAACACCTTGGGACAATTTACAGCGGCCAATTAAGCTAAAACACGTGCTTTTAGACTGTGGGAGAAAACTTGAGTCTCTGGGAAGAATTCACACGTGCGTGAAGAAAATCATGAATAAAAAAGGAAAAAATTATTTTGACCCTTTTCAGTGCAAACCACTATGAAACCATGTGTGTTTTTCAATTGTATTGTGTTGAATAACATTATTATTATTATCATTATTATTATTATTATTATTATTATTATTATTATTATTATTATTATTATTATTATTTCTAGATGTTCAAACAATAATCAGAAAAACCTTGGAAGCAGTTTACACTTTTATTAGAATTCAGAATACTGTGGTCTACAGTCAGTGAATAAATTAGCATTTTTCATAAAGATATAATTTACATAAAGACAATAAAACAACAAAAAGGAAAAGTGTTTTCTACAGTCTCAGGCCACAAAGCCAAAGATGGTAATTCAATATTGACCTATGACCAACAAGGTTGATCTTTGGCTGATGGATAATGTTATTATTGGGCAGGGGTTTATCTCTCTTCAAATTATGTCGGTTCCTGTACATCTTATTATTTGTATGTAAATATCATTATTGACCTTGCATATTGTGTTGACACAAAAACATCTAAAAGTCACTACTAGCAGTGGAGAAGTCTCAACCACACAACCTCTTTTCTGCTGACTTGATGCAACCTGCTTCTGAATTATATTCTACTCTGAGCACTTTTGATATT